AAGTATGATTTATTATTGATAATTTATGAGTTATATAAACAATTCTATAAACAACAAATTGGTTTAATAAATAATGAACATAGATTTCATGAATTACAACTATGGATTTAAATAGTGTTATATTTTATTAAGAGAAAGTGAAATGTAGTTACAATTTTGGTTTTAATAAGTCATAAATTGTGTTATTGTTGAAATATAATACGTGAAATTATTTTATTCTAAATTTTAAATTTAAAACTAAGTGAGCGGCTTTACCCCGACTTCACGTGAGCAACTTTACCCCGAGTGTATTCCTCACATTTCAGAATAAATTTAATTAAATCTTTTTAAAATAAGACAAAACTATATATGTACTTCGAAGAAGGACATCCAATGGCAACAAAAAAAATTTGCCAGATAAATTAATACTGAAAAATAATGATCGAAAAACTTAAAAATCCAAAATACGTTTTTTTTCTGACACCTCTAAAAACATTTGATCGTCTCTGATTCTATGTTGAATTCATGAAACTAAACGAAAGTTCGTTAATATAAGTTGAATGTTAAGTACTATTCACAGTACCAATATTTCCATCTTAAGTTGAGTTCATAGCGTCAAATCGCTAGTGAGCGGGTTTACCCCAGTCTCCCCTACTTAATATTGCGATGTTAAAATTTAAATATTAATTTGTTAGTCTGTTGCAGATATTGATAAACATCGACGAGTCGACAGATATGAAGGACGTATTTGGATTTGACTGGTGAAAAATTGTATTTAAATTATTTTATGTATTAAGTTTGAAGTTGATTATTAATAAATTCTATTTTTGGAATTTGGAAAAACTTAGTCTAGATTCGTTACCTACACCCGAGTGACATATTTCAGGCTAATTGGATCAATTTTTTCATAAATTCGTCTACAATATTGGGTCCTGCAATTTGAATTTTGAAAAACCAAGTTTAGATTCGTAACACAGGTCAACAAAAAAAGACTTACTTTTTTTTATGAGATAGCGGAATGGTTTCCTATGTATTTTTGGACGCTGAACACGATCCCGACTTCCAAAATTGCCCATCACGTCAGGATTTTGAGAAAAGTGGGGGTAAAGACCTCAAAAACGCTTTTTTGAGGAATTTCAACATTTATTTTCTCTTTAACCTGACGTGCTAGAGACTTCCACAAGGTCTTAAATTAAAGCTTGTAATGTGCACTAAAAGACCAATATCCATAAAATAAAAAAAAATTAAAATTTTTTTCAAAAAATGGGATTGAAGACACCAAAAATTTGTGTTTTTGGATTGCTTTAATAGACTTTTTGCAATTGCTTGGATTCGCATGAAAATGGTTACTTGGGGTTTTTGGGGTCGCTGATTACGAATCCGATATTAGTTTGCAAAAATTAAAAATGGCGGATTCGTAATCAGCGACCCCAAAAACCCTGAAATAACAATTTTCAAGCGAATCCAAGCAATTCTTAATTCTTACATCTGCCATCTTGGTTTCGCCGTTTTAAATTTTTGCAAACAAATATTGGATTCGTAATCAGCGACCCCAAAAACCCCAAGTACCCATTTTCAAGCGAATCCAAGCGATTGCAAGAAGTCTATTAAAGCAATCCAAAAACACAAATTTTTGGTGTCTTCAACCCCATTTTTTGAAAAAAATTTTAATTTTTTTTTATTTTATGGATATTGGTCTTGTAGTGCACATTACAAGCTGCAATTTAAGACCTTGTGGAAGTCTCTAGCACGTCAGGTTAAAGAGAAAAGAAATGTTGAAAATCCTCAAAAAAGCGTTTTTGGGGTCTTTACCCCCACTTTTCTCAAAATCCTGACGTGATGGGCAATTTTGGAAGTCGGGATCGTGTTCAGCGTCCAAAAATACATAGGAAACCATTCCGCTATCTCATAAAAAAAAAGTAAGTCTTTTTTTGTTGACCTGTGTAATCAGCGAATTAAAAAAATCTCTTGATATAAATTTATACCAAAATTATCCCGCTAAACGAATGCAAGCATTGAAGGCTATTTCAAGTTTATTATTTAATTTGTTTGACACACAACAATAATCAAAAACATACACAGTAAAAGCATATTAAATGAGGCAAGCTTATTAATCAGTAGTTGATAGTCCTTTGTTATGTCTCAGAAGGAAACTAAACATACCCTATTTTATATATATTTAAATTGCCCGGCATCGGTGATTCAAACCTGATTTATTCACAGAGCGGAAGGCTCTGATCTTATGGGACAAGTTTTAAGAAAGAGAAACTGTTAAAATTAAATTATTAAAGTTTTTATTTAAATTCTTTACAATTAGAATAAGAGAAAAAGAGTAGATCTAGATGTTTTCAGGCTCACTAGAACAAAATTAGAACTTTGTGGAATCAATCAAGAATTTAAATGGAGACACAATTTAAAGTATTAGTTAATTACCTTTTAAATTATTCTTAGTGTCGTAGACCCATAAAGCGATACCTCCTTCCAGTATGAGGTCGAGGAAATGAACTTGTCTATCGAAAACAGAAAATGCAGTAGGAAATTTCCCTCCAATTGATTTGGGGCCAGCCAAAAGTGAAAGGTCTGGAGTCCAGGTGTCGCGTCGATGTAAATTAGATAAAACACCCCTCAGCCTAGGAGTGACTAAATTATTGACTTGACATTGATGTCGAGGTAATACAGTCCTTAGAAAAATAGAAACGTGCCTCGTAGTAGAAATTATTTCCTTGAATGAACTTGACTAAGACCCGATCCACTCTATTAAGTTCAATGGAATCAATATCATATCGATGCTTTAGAATAAAGATCTCTTCGAAAAAGAAATAACTGTACATTTATTTGGATTTAACAGAAGATGATTTTCTATACACCATTCTTGTAATCGATTAAAATTAGACTGCATGATGACAAAGTCATCAGCAAATAATAAAAACAAACATTATTGAAATACATTTCCAATATCATTAATAAAAAGTGTAAATAATAGGGGACCAAGTAGTGTAGCTTGCGGTACACCACACGTGGCCTAGAAATATTCAGAAAAAGTAATATTTTATTTATTTATTTTTACACTTGTTTAGTCGTCGTAAAAGAATAAAAAAACCCAGGAAAACAAATATCTTTAAAAAATATTAAGTTTGCTGTTTTGTCTATCGCCAAGAATCTGTTGAATCAATTTAACAAATTTTCTAATTTGGAAAATATGTCCAGAGGACAGAAGTGCCAACAAACCATTTGTTACATCGATGCAGGAAAATACGTCCAGCAAAGCACGTCTACACAAATGTTCTCAAGCCGGACAATCCGCAAGTATGTGGAAAACATCATCTTTACCCTGGCCACAAAAAAGGCAAACATTTTCTGCATTAAATTTGTAAACAAGTTTCCCAGTAACAATTCTACAAATATAAGAAGTTAATAATCTGGCCTGCGCAAAAATTCGCTTTGTTATTAGGGAAGAACGAGCTCTTAGATAGTGATTCGTTCCCTCAACACGAGAAAGACTAGGGTATATGAAAAGACTTTTTGATTTAACACAAAGCTGCAAATCAGAAGTTCTGAGGGAAATACCATAGTTCTTCATCAATAAATTTCTCGTTTGACCTGTGGAGTCCAGATTCAGAACACTCCAATCAGCGTATGGCGTTGCCCAAACCGAAAACAATGCCAATCTACCTAAAGCAATGAAACCAGTAAAATGTTTCCAGTTTCCAGTCTAACCGCGTAATTCGGGGTATTGATTGGCAAAGCTAGAAGGCTCTTGAAAAATGCAAGCTGAACCTTTTCATTTTTGTCGACGAAATAGATGCCCCAAATCTGAACCCCATAGAACAAACACTCAAACACAGACGTCAAAATACTCGATTTTGAAAACAACTTATAAAACCCTTAAATTGACCATTCCTCTCATCATCTTAAAGTATCCACCTCCCTACTATTCATCCCTATACTCTAATGTATTTCCTCCTTTACCAAATCTTACACTGGAATTTGCAATATTGTAAAACAGAACACATTTGTACCTTAAAATAGAAACATCGTACATAACTAATTCAACGCAATATTATAATTTTTGTAATTTTGTATAAAATATATGTTTTAATGTAAGATATGTTTTATTCATTAATGTGTTCTCTACCCAAGAATTCAAATGACATAATTTCAGTCATTTTATAAATCAATTAATTCATTATCAAATCAAACTAGGCTTGATGCCTAACAGATAATAAACTTTTAACTAATTTAGCAAAGACATTTAAAATAGTAATTGACCAATAATTCTTTACATCAGAGCTGTTGCCATCTTTGAAAATGGGTACTTTTGTTTCCTGTTTCCAGATTAAGGAAAAATTCCAGATGATAATGATTTATTAAATAATAAAAATAACGGCTCAATAAGTGAACAGCAGCACGATTTTACAAGGGCAAGGGGAATACTATCTGGTCTAGGTCCCTTAGCAACATTAAGATTCTTAATCTTTTCAAAAATTCCCTCTCTACTAAACGTGACATCATGAATTGTAATTGCATCCTTGATGACAAATTTACAATCAAATTCAGACATTATAGAAGTATCATAAACAGAACTGAAACAGTTTACCGTACATGTACTATATGCCTAAATTTGGTTCTTCGAATCCGTCGGGAAAGCAAAAAATTTTTGCAAAATAGGGGCAAAAAATCAGATTTTTAAAAATTACCGCTTTCCATTACATTTAAGGGTAAAAATAGTCATTATAAAAATAAAGTGTATAAAATTCTGAGCAATTTGCAAAAAAAGTGAACTTTTTAGCTCAAAAATTGACCGAGATATGCCCTCGGCATAAAACTCGTTTTTTTCGTGATTTTAGCCAAAATTCGCTATTTTTCAGTTTTCTCAGAATAACTTCTAAAATATTGATTTTTTTAAAAAAATGACCTTCAGAGGACTTAAAGCTGACTAAATTCTTGACAATATTCGATAAAGAACAATAAAATAGCTTTAATAGAATAGAATGGCCGACCTAGCTTGAAGGTGTGTTTTTGTGCTTTAAAGTAATTATCGTATTTGAAGTGTATTTTTTGACATTTGAATATTTCTCTCATGATGGTTTTACGTGTAAAGTGAAGGGTTGTTCTTTTATATTTCGATTGACCTTTTTTGTGCTCTTTTCGAAGTTGTGTGTGAAACTTGTTTCTTTTTCCCTGTAAACATGTGCTTACAATGTGACGCTGCGTTACATTTTTGAATTCTTATTCTTTTTTAATTGACATTGTCTCAAAGACGGACCTAAATTGTATCGACTTTGCATCTCATATTTGATTCATATAAATTATGCAGTCTTTGATGCAGGTGTGAAGGTTTTTTCTTCTTAAGTGAATAGTATTAATTTTGACTGTACTTTATCGTACCCAAATTATATTTTGTTTTGTCGGTACATCAAGGTCTTTAACATGAATCAAGAAAGCACAACACAAACTGTCGTGAACAATTCTATTTCTCTGTGTGTGCCTAGTGCGAGTACTGCTTCGGGCGAACAAGATAGTATGAGTGAGCATCAAATATGTACTGAGTGTAGAAATCGAGTTGTGGAAAAGTGCACACATTGTGCAGTTTGTAATGCTCCATACCATAACAGTTGTGCGCAAAAAACACCCAAAACCTTAGAGGGTGGCTATAAAAAGTGTTGTGCTCCCCCGTCACCCACCTCAGTTTTCCCTTCCCTTAATGACATAAAGGAGGCTTTCAAGGAACAAATTAACATTCTTCAGACATCTATGAGTGGTGAATTTGCAGAAGTCAAAAAATATATTACTAATTTATCTACCCACATTGACAAGAACAGCTCACGCATCACAGAGTGTGAATCTCTGATCACTGATATCGGTCAACGGGTTGAGGAACTCGAGGTCAAGGCTGCCGAGGTAAACAAAGGTAACAACACAGCTGATTTCTCTGCATGTCTGAGTGAGATGGAGGAATGTATGAATAGGTCGAAAAATGTGATTATCTTTGGTGTTGAAGACGATGATGCCCTGGTATCTAACGTCAAAAACAAGGACAAAGACTTCATCACTCGCCTACTATCTTTGTTTATTTCACCCACAGAATCTCTAAAAAATTTTAAAACTTGGCGAATTGGTTCCTTTTCACAGGTACAGTCTGTTCCACGTCCACTGAAAGTAATCTTTTAATGTGCACAGGATGCGAACCTCTTTCTCACTTGTTTCTTGACACTCAAATCAGACAATCAGTCAATACCAGTACTCACATCTGTGACAGTTGCTCCAGATCGAACAAAGATACAACAATTAGAATACCGTCAGGCCAAGAAGGAATTGTCCGACCGTTTGGAGAGAGGGGAGAAGGATCTCAAGATTCGCTATCGTCGAGGATCACCGATTGTAGTGAACACACGCAAGCCAACAACGAGAGTCAACAAACCATAGTGCTACGAGGGAATTTCTTCAATGTTAATATCCTTTATCAAAATACACGCGGCATAAACTCCAAACTATCTTCAATAAAATGTTTTCCTGATATAGCACTGTATGATATTATATGTATCACCGAATCGTGGTTGAAACCTGACACCCCTTCTAATGAAATTTTTGACTCTAAAATATTCAAAGTCTTTAGACATGACAGACTTGAAAAAAGGGAGGTGGTGTTCTTGTTGCAGTACACTCCTCATATAAGATTTTAGTTATAGACATGTGTCCATATGATTTATATAATTACAACATAAATATAATTGCTCTTAACATATCTTGATATACCATAACCTTTACATTACTACTAATTTATATCCCTCCTAATACACCAGCTGATTCTTATCGTGATTTTTTTTCTACTTTAATGAACGTTCAGGCTTTGTATGATAATCCACTTATTGTCATAGGAGATTTTAATTCACCAAAGTTTGTAGAAAATAATGTCAATAATGATTTTAGAACCCGGATTATTAAAAATTTTGCTCTTGCTTTCGATTTAATGCAGATCAATAATGTTATGAATGGGGACGGGAAATGCCTGGATTTGGCCTTTGCGAATTTTAAATGTATACTTGAACGTGCACCTTATCCACTGGTTCCTGAAGACTCATATCATCCTACCTTATCAATTTCCACCCTTTTACAATTGTCACACAAATTCCAACCTTTCAATTTTATAAGAAATACAAATGATCAGACTGTTCAATTTAATTTTCGCAAAGCTCTTTTAACTGACTTATATGTGCACCTTTCGTCGATTGATTGGACTATATTATATAATTGTACTAATGTCAACGAAGCATATGATACTTTTATTACAATTTTATTGGAATGTTTTCAACTTTTCGTACCTGTTTACAGTTTTTCACAAAATAAAATCCGAAAATATCCACCTTGGTTTAGTAAAATAGTTATTCGAGAAATTAATAAAAAAAACTATCTTTTGAAAAAAAAACGCAGATATAAAATTAATGATTATGATTCAGAAATAAAATTAATGTCTTTATTTATACATAGGAGTATTAAGAGCGACCATGATAATTATATAGTAAGTGTTAAAAGAATTATACATTCTAATCCTAAATTTTTCTGGACTTTTGTAAACAGATCTAGAAGGGATTCTAGCTTTCCTGATGTCATGCATAATGAAAATACAGTTTTGGACGAACCCCAGGTAATTGTTGATGCTTTTTCTACACTTTTTGCTAAACATTGCACATCCAGCTTAAATATATCAAATTTCAATACTTTAACATCATCAATTGACATGGGAGGTAATCTTTATACTCTTTCTCATGACATTGTGTTTCGTGCCGCGAGGTCCCTTAAGCCTTCTTTTACAGCCGGACTAGATGGTGTGCCGAGCTTCTTCGTCAAGGACTGTGCTTCAATATTAGCATCTCCCTTGACTTTCATATTTAATCTTGCACTACTTTCTGGTCATTTTCCTGCCCCTTGGAAGTCTGCTAGAGTTGTTCCCGTATATAAATCCGGGGACAGGTCTCAGGTCGTAAACTATCGACCGATATCACTGGTTTCAAATTTTGCTAAGGTTTTTGAATCCTTTGGAATCCTTTGGATCCCCACTTTTAGGAATTTATATTAATGATATAACAAATGTTGTCAAATCATACATTTTAATTTATGCCGATGATCTGAAAATTTACCGATCTATTCTCTCACCTGAAGATAATCTGCAGCTTCAGTCTGATCTTGACTGCGTGAGGGACTGGTCTTTGACCAATAAACTTTCTATTAATTTTAAAAAATCTCACGTCATATCTTTTTATAGAGGTAAAGCACCGGTCCTTTACGATTACAAGTTGGCTGATGTGTCTTTGGAACGTGTTTTTTCTACTTGCGATCTTGTTGTGACTTTTTCTTCTAACCTAACATTTAATGAACATATCACTAATACGGTTTCTGCACTTTTCGGCACTGGGCTGAACCTAGTACATATCGATTATTGTTTCACACATTTATTCGTTCACGAACAAAGTATGCAAGGATAATCTGGAATCCCTACTACGATAAATATAATAAAGAAATTGAGTCGATTAAAAAAAGGTTTTTAAAATATATGGCTTTTAAGAAGGATGGTATATATCCTAACCGAGGTTGCGACTATTTATTATTATGTCAGCGTTTTGGTTTCATGACGCTAGCTGAACGCCATTTAATAACTGCGGCCACCTTTTTGTTTAAAATTATTAGGTCTCAAGTCGATTGTCCGTACTTAGGGGAGCGTGGAGGAATTGGAGCCCCTTAAGGAAAATTATTAAAAAAACCAACTTATCTTCATAATAATACATTGTTTTCGTCATTTTCTACTCATTTCGTTATTTATCTTTAATTATGTTTAATTAGAAACTTAAAAAGAGAAAATAAATTGGAAAAAAATTTTTTCAAAAAAAAATACATTTTTTGCTATCACCCAATTTGTGGGGTATTGGGAGCTTTCACTGGAAATTAAATTTTTTTTTTATTTTTTAGGAATATTTTTTGTTTTCTAATAGAAAAAAGTGTTAATACTTACAATGAAGCCAAAACTTTAGACTTAGAATAAATTTTTTCCTAAATTATAATTTAATACAAAATTTTTGAAAAAAAATTAAATTTTTCATTTTTTCCACCAAAAATGATTTTTTAATTAAACGTTTGTTCATAAGGTGATATCTTTTACAATTTTCAAAGAAATAACGAAAGCCGTAACATAGTAAAAAAATTCTTTGGGCTGACACTAATTCTCCCATTACCCCACAGAATTTTTACAGGACAAAATTTGAATAAAAAAATAAAAACATGAACAAATTTTATTATTATCTCGATTTTTATACAAGTATACGTATCCACACATATTCACCTATATAATATAATGAAAAAACAGAACTAAATAATACGATTTTAACTACTTATGGTGATGTTTAGAAATATTTTGCATTTTACAACGAAAACTCAAAAAATACATTTTCCTTTGTCTTTACTAAAAATTTGTCAAGAATGTGATCGTTTGTTTTGGAATGATATAAACAAAGGTTGTAGAAGATTTTCTAGACATTACAGCAAATTTGAAGGCTTTTAAGTACGTGAAATTTAAAAGCTCCCATTACCCCACGCTCCCCTACTAAGCGAAATTTTTTTTAGAGTTCCGAGGTTGCGTGTTACCATGTTAACAGAATGTTTGACAATATGCGTCCGGATTTGGATTTTTTTTTCTCTAATCAGTCAGCATTTTTGAGATGTTCAGTGCAATACACAGAGAATTTGCGATAATACTCTAATATTAATTTTATTTTTTTTCTATATACACACTTTCTGTATTCCTCAGTAACCCATTTATGGTCTTTTGACCGCGGGGACATTGTAAATAAATAAATAGTTTTCAAGATACAGTCTCTCAAATGTTGGTCATTTTTTTAAAAAATCAATATTTTAGAAGTTATTCTGAGAAACCTGAAAAATAGCGAATTCTGGCTAAAATCACGAAAAAACCAGGTTACTTGCGGAGGGCATATCTCGGTCAATTTTCGAGCTAGAAGGTTCACTTTTTTTGTAAATTGCTCAGAATTTTATACACTTTATTTTTTATAATAACCATTTTTACCCTTAAGTGTAATGGAAAGCGGTAATTTTCAAAAAACTGATTTTTTGCACCTATTTTGCAAAAATTTTTTGCTTTTCTGACGGAGTTCGAAGAACCAAATTTAGGCCCTTTATTTTGACCCCAAAATGAAGGGTTTAAGTAAAAAAAATTGCGGTCCTGAGTTAAAAACTCTAAAAATACTAATTTGACTGGACTATTAGAACAAGGTTTAGTAAAAAATACAAAGACTTTCTCATGTCAGTACAAATATACATTCAACCTGAACAACTATATTATTAAAGAGACTCCAGCAATTTTGTGGAATTTTAATAGACTAGGAGAATTTATTGGATATACATATATAGATATATTTGATGAAAACTGACCCCTATTGATTAACGATCAATTATCAGCGCCCACTTGAGAAAGTTCACCGGACACGGTCGGATGTCGCGGGGTCATCGATAGACTCTCATCCCCCAACAGTTTGTGTGGAAAGTGGAGGGAGGAGACATCCTCTTGCGCTATAGGGCGGCGTTCGTAATGTCAGTTCGGAAGTGCGAGCAGGCATCGGCCCGCGGCGCGACGCATCGATCCCACATCCCCCCGTATTTCTATCCCTCTTTCCATATAACCTCGCTTTACTCGGCTCTCTCACGCCTGCCAACTGCCCCCCTCCTCCCACGCCCCTTCATCCAACCGCCACTAACACTCCAACGAGCACTCTCGCACCCGCACTGAGCATTTATTATTACCGCCAGAAACGTACGACGGGTAAACCATGATATAGACGCGCAGTGGTGTAAGCGCCACAAATACTCCCCCTTAGCTCAGAATTAGAGGGAACAAATGCGCGCGATAGCTGGTCTCATGCGTTTGCTGCCAGTTTAATGAAGATGTAATTAGGGGGTCGTATCGACGCCCAAAATCAACGATGCACCACATCGGAATGCATTATTAGCCGCATTATTGACTGTGCGAGGATTTGATCCGTGTTATACTGAATTTACTCTTGATCTAGTTTTATACACACACACACACATATATATATATATATATATATATATATATATATATATATATATATATATATATATATATATATATATATATATACATCAGAAGCTTTATCGGAAGATAATAATGGACCAATTAAAACTTCGTTAATGTAAATATCATAAGAATAGATTAGACGAAAGTACCATTTTAAAATCAAATATTATATCCGTTAACCTGAAAGATATAAACGCTAATTCAACGTAAAAGCTTTTAAACAAAGTCGTTATTGTCCTAACGATCGATTAACATTAATTTTAGTTGGAACTCGTTTACTTCCGAATGTAATTTAGAAATTAAATGAAAATGCTGGCGAATTTTATCGTTTAAGATATTTTTAACAATCATGGTTAAAAAGAACAATGTATTTTGCTAATTCTTTCCATCTTTCGAATCTTACCTACACGTTTTTGTGCAGATTTTGACTAGTTTTAGTGGTAATTTGATTTGTAAAAATAGTTTTGAAAAAGCGTGAAAAAGTGATTTTTGGCTAAACTTTTATTGATATAAGTAAACATTGAACATAGTACTTAACTTTAAATGACGAAAAATAAAATATTTTCATAGAAACAATATTAAAATTTAGGTTTTTTAAAAAGTGTTCTTTACTAATAATTAATTTTCTAACTAATTCAGATTTAGAGGGTATATTTTTCACTTGCACTTTATAAACACTAAATAAAATACGCTGCAAAGTAAGAGCAGTATATTTAGACTGAATAAAATCCAAAAATAGGTTAATCAATTCGTTTTAAAAATTTTTATTGAACTGATACAAAATATTGAAATTTAAATTAAATTTTCACTTTTCATTTGGAATTTTTTTTTGAAAAGAGAATATCACAAAAAGGCTTATTTTTCAAAATTTTGAATTTTAAAACGCAGTCAGTAACTTTCAATATCATTAAAGAAGAATGTGTAATTCTGGATCAAAAAGTGCGCAATGTTTAAAAGATGTACAAAATTAACCGATTAATACCCATGAGCATACTATGTTTAACTCTGACGCAAACTAACTATATTGGAATGAGAACATTAGGTCGTAAATGTGAAGAAGAAACACATTTAAAATAAATTTTTAAATTTGTTTAAACAATCATTTTTTTGTTAATTTATAATTTAAAATACTCAAAAAATTGAACTTTTTGCCCGCAGTTTAATAAATAGAATTACCATTAATTTTAATTAATTAAATCTCTGAAATAAAAAAGCAAAATTTATTAACTCTCTTTCTACCCATTAAAACTACCTTTATTTCCAAAAACAA